AAACCCTAAACCCTGAACCCTGGCTGATTCTGATTCAGCTCAGCCTGAAGAATCCTTGCCAGGTCCCTGAGGGCTTCTGCGCGTATCAAATCGGCGGAGACTTCGGGGACTACAGCAAGCAAGGCCCTGGTGTAGGGTTTAGGGAATAGGGTTTCGGGTTTAGGGGTTCAGGGTTTAGGGTTAAGGGGTTTAAGGTTTAGGGTTTAGGGGTTTAGGGTTTAGGGTTTAGGGTATCAAGGCCCAAAATCCGCAAATTCCCAAACTCAAATTCCCTAAACCCCGAACCCGACATCCCTAAACCTCTGAACCCAAGCTCTTTAAATCCCGAATCCGAAATCTCTTAACCCTTAAACCCAAACTCAACGCCCCCGAATCCTAAACCCAACTCCCTAAACCAAGCAGCCATGCCTTCTCTGCGCGGGAAGAGGGCAGGATTCATCTCTCCTTTTCGGCGAGATGAGGGCGGGCAGTTTTTGGGTTGGAGTTGGGCTGGAAGGGTTTGAATTTGGCGCTTTCGGTCTAGGGTTTTATTTCGGAGTTTATAAGGTGCAGGGTCCCCTAAACCCTAAACCCTAAACCCTAAACCGAGCTTAGGGGAACCGGGCTTGGAGAAGCTCTCGGGCAAAGTGGTCCCAAGCTGTGTAGTTGTTGCCGTTCAGGAGTTATGTAGGGCTAAAGAATTACCAATACTATTTGTGGCGGTTCCTTGGTAACCTTAATATATTTATAGTGTAATGGGCCCCAAAACCCTATTCTAATTACTAAGGCTTCTATATTATCCTTGCAGGGCCATGCTAGAAAGCTTGGCCGTCAGCTGAGATAAGCCTAAGCCGCCTGAGCCCTAACCCAAAACCCTCCGCATTCAGCGTGGAGTGATGCAGCCGACGTCTGGAGCTGCATAGGGTTTAGGGTTTAGGGTTTAGGGTTAGGGTTTGCACTGTTGTAGATGGAAGACAGTGTGCTGCAGTCCCGGCAGCCTCTTCGGCACTTTGGCTCGTCTCAGTGGTTGGAGCCATCTCTCTTCTAGCAGCATGAAGCCCGTGATCGTAAGTATTCAGCCCAAAATTCAAAACCCGAAAGCCTGCATCCTTAAAAGGAGTCCTCCTAAACCCTAAACCCTAAACCCTAAACCCTAAGTTCTAAACCCTAAATTCTAAACCCTAAAACCTTAAAGCAAACCAGGCACCTGGTTTGAGGAAGCAGACCTCGAAAAGTTGGGAGGCGTCCTCTCAATGCAGCTGTCGCTCTCGGACAGCATAAGACCTGGTTCCGAGACAATGATAAGTACCCAAGAATAGCGGCGATGACAACTGTAGAGTGACAATATTAGAAATACCAACAGCACTAGCAATAATGATAATAGTAGCAAGAATAACAACAAGACTGCTAGCAAAATGTTACTACTTTACACTATTGCTGCTGCTACTACTACTTACTACTTACTACTTACTACTTACTACCTACTACTTACTACTTACTACTTACTACTTACTACTTACTACTTACTACTTGCTACTTGCTACTTACTACTTACTACCTTCTACTTACCACTTGCCACTTAATACTTACTACTTACTACTTACTACTGACTACTGACTACTTACTACTTACTGCTTACCGCTTACTACTTACTACTCACTACTTACGACTTACGAGTTACTACTTGCTACTTACTAGTGACTACTTACTACGTACTACTTACTACTTACTACTACCTACTACCTATTACCTGCTACTACTACTACTACCATACTACTACTACTACTACTACTACTACTCCCAGTACTACTACCACCACTACTACTACCACTACTACTACTACTACTACTACTACTACTACTACTCCTACTACTACTACCACCACTACTACTACTACTCCTCCTGCTGCTGCTGCTGCTGCTGCGACGACGGCAACGACGATGACTAAAATTAGCTACTATCTTCCATCAAGCAGTTACTATCTGCCTCGTACAAGCAGCTAGCTACTAGCTACCAGCAACCCTACAGGCTACCAGCTACAAGCTACCAGCAACTATCTACCATCTACTATCTATGTCCAACAATCTACTGTTATTTAATATTTAATACGACTACGAATTACCACTATCAGCTGCTATCTACTATCTACTACTATCTGAAACTGCTGCTCTACTGCCGGTCCTGCCGTCTCTACTAATACTACGAGACAACGGCGCAAAAGCCAATAACAAGCACCAACTATAATGATAACTTCACTACCACCACCACTACTACTACTACTACTACTACTACTACCACTACCACTACCACTGCCAGTACCACTACCACTGGCACTACCCCTGCTACTGCTGCTACTGCTGCTGCTACTACCACTACCACTACCACTACCGCTACCACTACCACTACCACTAACACTACCATTACCACTGCTGCTACTACTCCTACCCTTACTCCTACCCCTACTTCCATCCCAGTCCTACTCCTACTCCTCCTACTACTACTACTGCTGCTACGACTACTGCTACTACTACTTCCACTTCTACTTCCACCTCTACTTCTACTACTACTGCTGCCTTTACCTCTACTTCTACTTCTACTTCTTCTGAACTGACCACGTGCTCGGAATCCTTAGTAAACAATCACACAAACTCATCTTCTACATGCATCACAAGTTGAAAAGCAACAGGAGAAGGCGTTGCTACAACAGTCAAGCAGCTGTTAGTTGCAAGTTCGAGGGCCTTCACCGGACTCCCAACCTTCAGACGAGCTTTTACACCGTGT